GGCACCTGCACTCTCTATTTTTGATATTCTTACCCATAAAGCAAATATTAAACGGGCTCTTTTTGAAGTATCTGTCTGAAGTAAAAGGTAATCTTAGAGGAGATTATTCTCTCAAGTATTAATTACTAATAGTTATGAACAAATCTATGCCATGTAAAATGGAGTAAAAGTAAATTGATCAATATTAATATTTCATGGACTGGAATTGATTCCAATAACTCATATTTGCTAAAACCTATGGATGGCATCGTAGGAAAAATTTAGTAGGATTTAACAAAGATGTCTCCTAAAAATGGGAGACACTAAGGAAGGGAACTGGATGGCTGGTGTCAAGGAAGGGAAGGAAACTTGTTCTTCCACTGCATAATTTATGATTTTTAAAATATGTGCATATATTACCTATTCAAAAAGCTGAAGCTTAAAAAAACCAATCCATCCTAAAAATCCAAATGAGAAACCTGGGAGATAGCCTAGAAATTTTAAACTGTTTCGGTTACATATGATCACAAAGCCAGGACATGGGTAGAAAGCAAAGAGATGAAAACCTCCAACCTGGATGGGAGAGCTAGTCACTGCTGGCTGACAGAGGGGCACTGCATCTAAGGAAAAGACACAGCTGTGTGAGGAGACCTGGCTCTAGCTCATCCAATGCCCAGTCCCTGCAGGTGTCAGGATCACCAATCAGGTGGTTCTGATGCAACACAAGACCAACAGAACCCTTTAAGTCTTTGGAGAAAAGCCTATTTACTTCACAGCTCAATCCTGCCACCGCTCATCTACCAGCTGCGTGGAATCATCTGGGAAGGGATCATAAATAGCTGCTCCATAATCTCCCACAACAGTTTTCTGATGTCTGAAGCTTATTCTGTGCTGTAATCTCTAGATTAGGTAGCTTGACAACTGCACACCCTATGAGATGACTTTCAGCCACAAGCAAAACAACACAAAGCAAGATGGCACAGGAATTAAAAATTATGCTTTTAGTCACATCTCTCTCTTCTCCCAAGGTTCTCAAATACTCTGGCTAGGCCTGACCCCTCTCTCCAACTTCACTCAACATTTATTGAGAATGTGCTAATAAGACACACTGCAGATATCACTCCTCCAATAACTCTCCTCTCTCCTCCCTGACAACAAACACAATCCCTCAAGATAGCCCAAGTCTGGAAGTAAAACAGATTACTGGTTAGAAGGGGATTCCTAGCTTCATGGGAATAATACTGTGTAACAGCCAGCGGCGTGAATCTAATTAACGAATGCAGCAATGATGTAGGGTAGAGGGTGCAGGGCAGGTCGAAAATCCTACCGCTTGGCCCTTCCCTCAACTCCCATCATAAACCTACACAGTCTGGTTCTAGGGGGGGCTAGCAGGTTGTCAAAGCCGACGGAATGCCCTCCTTCTGCCGGCGACTCCCATTCCCAGCCACCGATCAGATCCTCACACTCCAGTGGCTGATCAAGCCTGGCCAGTCCGCAGTGCCCGGAGTGGGAAGTGAGGGGGGCGGCGTAGACACCCACCTGCGGGAAGGCCGACGCTCGGCACAGAGGGGGGCTGCAGGCTGTACACGGTCTTAACCACACTGGTCATCGTAACGAGGCGGCACGGCTGGGCCCTGGAAGGTGCAAGGTGAATGTTACCTAGCGCTGGGCCACCGAGCACTAGCAGGTGGAGGGCCCCAACTCTGGGTCGGGAAAGAGAAAATTCTCCTTTCCCAGCCCATCCTGTCTGCTCCCACATCCAGCCCAGTCCCTCCCCCCAGAAGAGCCGAACCCAGGCGCCTGCTGCTCCTGCCCGCGGTCCTGGTCGCTCTCGTTCAGAAGATGCTCAGCTTCAACCGCCGCGCCGCCGAGCGGGTCTGCCGCCTCCGTTTTAAACGGAAACTTCCGGTATCTGGACGGAAGCGGTTGCGGTTCGCTCTCTGTAGGCAGCCCTGCTGTACGGAAGACTCTGTCCTGGGCCGCGGCCTCGGGAGCAGCCATGCTGCACGGAAGGTTCGCGCGGGGGCGAGAGCATGCGCTCCCTACCGAAGGGCCTCGGAGCCCCCAGATCTGGGCGGGGCAGGGGATGGTACACCGCGCAGGCTTCAGTGGAGCTAATGAGCAACTGGCGTCATGTTTCAGGCTGGGGACGCAAACGTGGCCCGTGTAGGGCCCATGTCACAATCTCCTTTATTTGGTCTGTGATTTTTAGGGGCATTGCTAGGAGCGCAATTTACTTGGATGAAAACTACACGTTACAGGTGGAGAGTGACAAGTGAGCTTGAGGAAGAGGGCCTGTGGGGTGAGATACCTAAGGCACTTACCTGCAGTGCTAACTTTGATAGCACTTATCCTGATTTTAAGTAGAGATTCAAAGTTACTTCTAATAAACAGAGCAGAGTTCTCCATGACTGAATGCACGCATTCATGTCATCCAACAAATATTTACTGAGCACCCTCTCTGTGCCCAACACTAAGTGGATAGGTAGGGGTGAGGGAGAGCAAATACCAAGACTGACCTTAGCTCTGCCCTCCTGGAGTTTATAATCTAGGAAACAGTGAACAAATAATCACACATAAATATATATTTACCAACTGTGGCAAAACTACGAAGGAAAATACAAGATGCTATGAGAGAGAAAAGCAGGGAAACCTAGATTAAATTGGGGGGTTAGGGAAGACCTCTCTGAGGTGATGTTTGATTAAGGAAGGATGAGGGAGAAAAAGGAATAAGAAAGAAAAAATAAAAAGTTGGTGCAGTGGATCACACCAGTAATCCCAGCACTTTGGGAGGCCGAGGAGGGAGGATCACTTGAGGCTAGAAGTTCAAGACCAGCCTCAACAACATAGTAAGACCCCATCTCTACAAAAAATTAAAAAATTAGCTGAGTGCAGTGGTGCACACCTGTAGTCCCAGCTACTTGGGAGGCTGAGGCAGGAGGATCACTTGAGCCCAGGAGTTCAAGGTTGCAGTGAGCGATGATGACGCCACTGTACTCCAGCATGGGTGACTGAGTGAGACCCTGTCTCAAAAAAAAAAAAAAAAAAGAAGAAGAAGAATGGGAGGGAGTCAATCCCACGAACATTGGAGTGGGGTTGGGGTGGGGGAATGCAAATTCCCAAAGCAGAAATGGACTTTTCTCCCATAAGAATTGAATGGCAGGAGGAGAGTGGTACAGATAAAGCTGGAGCAATAAGAAGTCAAATGGCAGGATTTGTAGGCCAAGGTGAAGAGATTAGATTTTATCTAAGAGTAATGGGAAGCCACTGAAGCAATAGCAGGAAAGTGTCTTCCAATTTATATTTTAAAAAGCTCACCGTGGCCACTCCATGGAGAATGGATTGAAGTGGGGCTAGAGTGACACCAGGGAGATAGTTGGAAGGCTATTGTCATTATTTAGGTGAGAGGTGATAGTGGCTTGGCCATGATGGTGGTTGTGGTAGTGGAGAGAGAGAGAAGTAGACACATTGCAGATAGCTTTTGGAGATGGAATCTCAGCACTAGAATGGATGTGGGGGAAGGAGGGGTAAGAGAAAAGGAGAGAAAGACATGAGGGATGACATCCAGGCTTGAATAATTGTGTGGATGGAGTCATTATTTTGTGTTGGACAAGACTGAATGTTCAATTTTGAACATGGTAAACTTGAAATGCCTTTGAGACTTGCCAGTGGAGTGGTCAAGTAGGCAGTTGGAACTATAAGCCTGGAACCCAGAGGAGAGTCTGGGCTGGAGATGTATTGTTGGGAATTATTGGTATATTTAAAGCCTTGATAGTGGTCCTTTTATTTGTTTTTTTACACTGCAGAACAAGGTGCCAGAGTATGATTCAGAATGAGGGAGGGGGGCAACTGGGAAGGTGAAGGTCAGGAAGGAGAATTGCAGACCTAAGGCGGCTTCTCTGGCACATCAGTATGAGGAGAGGGAACACGAAGGAGGTGGCTCTGGAAATTGATTCCCTGAAAATGATCTTTGTCCACCTCCCTTCTAGGAAGTCTCCACATCCCTGTAGGGGAGCACAAGCCCTAGTTTTGAGGCCTCTGACCCAGTGTGTGAAGCCAGTGATGGAGCCACTACTGCTTCCTTTACTGTAACAGGAGGGATGGGGAGAAAAGCAGGCAGGAGGAGTAGGGTAGATAAGTTGGAGCTCTGATGCTTTGGAGGTAAGGAAATTTCTTTCTGAGGGCTTCAGTTTTCTTCTTGAAGAATGAGTTTTTCTGTCCATTGAAAATAGGGGTGAGAGGATGGAGGGGAGCAGATATTTGAGGAAGATGGAGAAAATATGAAATCATCCTTATAAAGAATGCAAATTAGTGACCAGAATGGAAACTCGCTAGGCAGAGATGAGGGTCTGGTTGAGGTGAGTGGTCATGGATTCAAATCTACATCGCTCTGCTCAGCTGTGGGATTTTCTTTAGCAATACTGAAGCTCTTGTTTGTTTGACGTTTGTGTCAATTTGGTAAAATGTGGATCTTTTCCCTATGTTGAGATATAACATGAATAATCACACAGAGGCCAAATAATAATTATCAGAGAAATTTATCAAGGTCCTTCCAGGGCTCTTCTGCACAGGGTGGCTTTGGATGGCCAGACATTTACATAGCACATAGCAGCTTTCTTTTGTTCCTCATCATCCTGGTGAATTGAGTTACAATTTCTTAAGCATGAACACCTGTAGACCTCAAGTTACAGTCATCCCTATGAACAAAGGTAAGGGTGGAGATGGTGTGGAATGTCTGTTTTTCCTCCCCCCAGGTAAATGGGATCTTGATGCATGGCATGGGGTACCAGCGAGCTTGCCATTGCCCCTGTGTATTATCAAAGGATAAGATAATGCTACCATAGAAGAAAAGATCAAAAACTCTCTGGACAACAGATGAAGGTTGTAAACCAATTTATCCTCTTTCCTAAAACCCTTCACCTGCCTCCCTGTCCTTTCATGCATTGGGAGAAGGACAGAATGAGTTGGAGGGGGCTGGGAAGTTTGGCTTATAAATCTCTTGTGAAGTGTTGCTTCCAATATTGGCTCAAGGTGGAATATTGCCTAAATATCATAGTATGGGATATGCTATGTATCAGAAAAATTCATGATTCTGTCAGTCACATCAATTGCTGTCTAACATTGTCACTCTAAAAGTCCCTAAAGCACCATAGCCATGGAAGGTTGGGTTTTCTTACGGTAACAAACTATAGCAAGTTTTATATAGATATACATATTTGTTTGTTTTAGAGATAGGGTCTCGCTCTTTTACCCAGGCTAGAGTGCAGTGGTGTGATCATAGCTCACTGCCACTTCAAACTCTTGGGCTCAAGCAATCCTCCTACCTCGGCCTCCCAAAGTGCTGGGATTACAGGCATGAGCCACCATGCCCAGCCCCAAGTTATATTTTTAAGACATAGAGCACACATACTCATACTCTGAATGTAAGTTCAAGGATCAGTGGCACAAATAGGAGAAATGACCTCACGTCACAAGTGAGTGTTAATATGGTTCTATTTTAAAGTATCTTCATGGAAAGAAACCATTTCTTGAATTTTGCAGGGCAAACATGGATGCTTTGACTGGTTTTCACATGCCTCACAGCATGCTTCTAAGCGACATGTGTCCAGGGCCATAACATTAATAAAGTGAACAGATCTGCTGAAACTCAAAGGATATTGAAAATGCTTTAAGTTCCACATTCCAAAGTCAGGGCTAGAGAGGCTGGCTGGATTACCCGTTGATGTGGGTTTCCTGCTGTTGGTTTGGGCCACTCTAGGTATGAGGTGATGTTTTAGATCACCGCTGGGTTCTTCCAGTCTTCTGGGCCTGGCAACATAAAGAACAAATCCAGTTGACACATCAGCTGCTATGGCTCATCTGCCTTCCTGCGGGGCTGTGTGGCCATGGCCTGCAAGAATGGGCCCCAGAAATCCCCAAATAGGGCCCCACAGGTGTGCCCAACTCCCTGATGCCCACCCACCCACCCCTCCACACTCTAACATTTCAATGGTTGTGTTCAGGCCAAGTGTTTGAAACAGTCCCGGATACCAATGTCTTCCTTTGCAAGATACAAAAGAGGAAGCAGATTCTTTTGGGTTCAGGTACCTGCTGGTCTCCCACAACATGGGGTGGAAGAGCCTACGTGAGTTGCTGAGAAGCAACTAAGATGCTGAACTCTCTTTTGGGTCAAGGTAGGACTTTTGCTCATGCTCAGAAGGAAGGGTCCCCTTGTCCTCCCCATGGCTCATTGTTCCAGAAGAGACCAGGGCTCTCACAGCCTGGCTGTGTGGTAACAGAGGGACATAGGTAGCAGACAAGCCAGGACCCCGATAAGCAGCCATAGGCCAGAGAGGCTGAATGCTACTTGGACATGAAGTGAGAGAGGTCCCAGCAGACCCCCGGGGGACAGGTCCAAATTAGGTCCTAGTCACTGCCTCCCCTTCTCAGTGTTTATCTTGATTTACTTATCTTGCAAAGGAGCCAAGGTATCCTGTCATTCCTGCCTACTGTCTTCTGTCCCTTCCACAACTCCCATGTCTAATTTGAGTTTCTGATCCTAATCTCATGGAGTACTTGGGGCAGGAGATGGGTCTCAATAACATAGGAACAAACCAAAACAAAAGTACCTTCCGATTTGCCTCCAGCTCTGACACCGGGTGGCCCTGGAAAAATCCCTTCCCTTTTCTGATACTCATCTGTAAAATGGCCTGGATCAGTGGTTTTCCGACCACCTTCTGTGGAGCTGCCAGGAGCCTGAGGGGTTCCCCGGGGTCCCCGAAGAGGCTGCAGTAAAAAGGGAGGCTGAGCTGACTCTGTACCCCCACACCCAGTGCCCACCAGAGTGGATACTTTTTACCTGTTTTGCATATTGTGTTTCCACACAAGGGTTCTTTGAAGAAAGGGTCCTGAGACTAGTGTTTGAAAGCTGCTAGAGGAGATGATTGCTAAGGCCCCTTCCAGTCTAAGATACTTGGTCTTCTGAAGCCCAGCTCAAGTCATTCCTCCTTCAGGAAGCCTTC